TCTGGGTGTGTGTTCACGGTGTGTGTGTGTTCACTGCTGTGTGTGTGCACTTTGGATGGGATAAATGCAGAGCACTAATTCCGAGTATGGGTCACCATACTTGGCCACATGTCATGTCACTTTCACTTTGTGAATGACCGGAGTAAATGATGTTGAATGGAGGGAGTATGGACACTGGTGGAGCCTGCCATCTGTTTAGGAGGTTGTTCGTAAAAAGACATAAAAGGAAAGGAAAGGAAGGACGTGACGTGTGGCCAAGTATGGTGTCCCATACTTGGAATTTGTGCTCTGCATTTAACCCATCCAAGTGCACACACACAGCAGTGAGTAGTGAACAAACACGCACACACACACACACTGTGAACACACACCCGGAGCAATAAGCAATTAGAAGCGGGTTCATTAATTAAAACATGTTTCTAACATTATGAAGCATTCAGCCTAGCCTCTTTCTTAGATAGGAGAGTACTGTCTTAGTATACTCCAGACTAATATGCTGCTTTGCTGCTCAAGAAACATTTCTTATTATTATCAATCTTGAAAACAGTTTTGCTGCTTAATATTTTTGTGGAAACTGTGATACATTTTTAAAGATTTTTGTACAATATAATTATTATTTTAAAAACACACAATATATAATTTTAAAACATTGAAAATATATAGAATGTAAAAAAAAATATGCATTAATTAATATTTTTATCATGTGGTTGCATATCAGTTTGCAGCACTTTTCATCCACATTGCACATTTTTAGTTGTGCTCTCAAATCTGTCACTGTTTTTGCAATTGACTCAGCAGAATGCAAACAATAGTAAATAAAACTGATTTCCTTACACAAATCAGTTTGATGTTGAAAAATGTAACTCCTTTGCTTTTAAAATTTAGTTTAAATAATTTTTGGACATTCCTATTCCAGGCTTTAGTATTTTCATTCTAGTTTTGACTTGGAAATGAGCAAATACTATAAACCTTCGTCAGGGCTTAATTTAAGTCTAAAAATGAAAATTCTGTCATTTAATCACCCCCTTTTGTAAAACGTTTCTTCTGCAGAACATGTCACAGTGTTTTTAGTTTATACAATGGAAGTCAATAATCACCAAATCTGTTTGGTTACCAACATTATTTAAATTATATTTTATGTTCCACAGAAGAAAGAAAGTCATCAGGTTTAGAATGACACGATTTTGAGTAAATGATGACAGAAATTTAATTTTTGTATGTTCTATCCCTTCGAAAGAACAAAAATGAAGAAGTATCGTTTAGTCAAAAAAGTCACTATCGACTTCTGCCACGAGTTATTTCAGAGAGTGAATCCAAATCTTATGGTGAGCAGATGGGCTGGGGGTTACTCTGTATCCAGACTGTGTTTTCTGAGGAAGGCCTGTGTGACTCTTTGTGATGTTGAGAGTGACCTGGTAACAGCCTGCGTGATTATTCACAACACCAGCCAGGGCAGATGGCAGAATGTTTGTTTACCAAATGTAATTTCTCTCAGCGTTTTGCTAAGTGTAGTGCAAGGCTCAGGTGATCTGTTTCTTGTGGACACACACACACACTGAAAAAAATTTGGAGTAGGATTTACTTGAAAAAAGCTTGGAAACAATTTTCACTCAGAAAAGGCTAATTAATTTACAAAAATTTGAAAATATAAATTTTTAAGTTAAGTTTACTTGGGAATTCCCGGTAAATTTTATTGACTCTTTGTTTGTAAATTGTACTTAAGTAATGCTTATCACTGTAAAAAATTGTGCTGTTAAATAACAGTTATTTATCTGAAAAAAACAATAAGTAAGATTTACTTAATTTTTCTTTTGCAAGTTTTTGCACACATATACTTTAAAGGGGTCATATGATGCTATTTTAAAGATCATTATTTTGTGTATTTGGTGTAACAGAATATGTTGACATGCTTTAATGTTCAAAAAACACATTACACATTACATTAACACTATAATAATATACTAATATAGCATTTGCATATTATTGCTCTTTTGTTAGTTTTGATTGCTTCTATTGTCCTCATTTGTAAGTCGTTTTGGATAAAAGCGTCTGCTAAATGACTAAATTTAAATATAATGTAAATGTAAATAACAAAACTACATTGAAATTTTAAAACAAGCCCCAAATAAAATAAATAAGTAACACAAATAAAATATATCTCTTCATATAAACAAAATAAGGCTTTGTCTGTGCTCTTTCCATTTAAAATTAGAGGCAACCACTGCATTTTAATCTTGATCCAAACAAAGATGCTGCATACATGCAACATGAAATATCTGCATGAAACAGAAACAGCAGACGAGCTGAATGAGCCGCAGATTCACTCTCTGCCAGCAGGTGGCGCTTAAAGAGTTTCCTGGTTTCCGCTGTAAACAAAGCAGCGCTGCACTTATGAACTTTTAATATGCATTATACAGAGGCAAGATAAAAAGAAAAAATGCCATCTAAACTTTTCTAAAGACAGTAAGTTCCCTTCAGACACACATTCATATAAACTCATACCTCTAAATAAATCGTGATTTGTTTAGCAACTCAACCGATTTGAATCCTCATATATTTGAATCGATTTTCAACCAGCTCGCGGTTATTAGTTACATCCCTACTTATAAGGTAATATGTCCACTCAATATAATTATTACCCAAGTGAACACAGAGACCTCAATACTTGGTACACAATACACAATGACGGTAACAATCAGTGAATAGTGTTTTGAGTATGAATGGGTCATTTTGAGCAGAAAATGAACTCCAGATGTCACAAAACAGTAAGTTACTAAACCTAACAACAAAAGCAACCATAAAACAGCGTAAATACAACTCGAAAACAGTGATAAATGTAACCTTTTTAATTATTCATGCCCCAGTGCATGATGGGAAAAACAGAATCATAACTTTGATATTTACTTAAAGAATCCTTGCAAACATAACAAACAATTCCAAGTAAAATATACTTATAAGTTCGAACTTTAATTTCTACAAGCTTAAATTGAGTACTAATATATAATTTACTTTATTTTTTTTATTCTTGCCAGAACTAAATTATTTAATGTAGAAATTACATTTGTTTTTATATAGTATTTACTTCACCACAAAATAATTTTTATCAGTGCACACACACACACACATTTACTTGAGATGAAAACAAACCTAATTGCTGCTTAGCCCACTCCTGACCCTGCGTGCTGTCAGATGCAGTTATGCTGGACAAATGCAAATGTGTTTGTGTGTGTATGTCAACAGTGAGATCCGCATGGGAGAAAGACGGTCAGAGATGCTATCCAGCAGCAGGTGCCGTGTGTGTTTACTTTCCACAGAGCATTTAATAGCTTTTCTTGTCTCATTGTTCATTTGTAAGCAACTTTTGCTTTGCTTGGAAATGCTCTTTCATCAGATTCTGTTCAAATCTGTAGGCAAACGTTTGCTTTGACCGTTATCTGATGGTCCTGTGTTCATTGACATCTCTTGAGGGTCGATGTGACTGGATCAGGAGGGTGTTGACCTTGTTGCATCAGAATGACACATAATGCCGATGTAAGCTGAAGATGTACAGGTCATATTGACTACATTTCTAGAGCTTTCCGGTTTTTGGTGCAGGAAACATGCCAAAAGGTCATAAAACTCTGGTTTTATCAGTGAATACTCAGGCTGCTGCAGTGGTGTAGGACACCAACGCATATTTTTGATAGCTCTTTCTGTCTGTCCATAAGCGTCATGTTTAATAATAAAGGAACTTGCTGGATTTTATATGTTTCATACCTCTAAGCCTTAGGCCTGTACTGTGTCTCTTTGTGTAATCTCAGACATGAGTGGTTTCAATTGGTTTTGTGGTCAGGTTGACTTGAAAAATTGATTTGAAACAGTTTTATTGTGGTTGCATTCAAAGACAGATTGTTTTAGGACATGATGTTTTTATTTAGATTTGTTTATGTCCATTCTGTTTACATGATGTTTATTATGTACTGATGCAATGGTAACACTTAACCATTAGAAGGTTTAATGAAAGTGAAAGTGAAAGTGACGTGACATGTGGCCAAGTATGGTGACCCATACTCATGACTTCCCTGTTAATTAGTTTACTACATTAGCTGACATGAACTAACAATTAACAATACTTCTAAAGCATTTATTTAACCTTTATTAATCTTTTTGTTAATCTCAACAATAACTAATACTTTTTTAAAGGGGTCATATGATGCGATTTCAAGTTTTCCTTTCTCTTTGGAGTGTTACAAGCTGATTGTGCATAGATAAGATCCCTGAAGTTGCAAAGACTAAAGTCTCAAAACCAAAGAGATATTCTTTATCAAAGTTAAGACTCTGCCACGCCCCCCTAAAACGGCTCATTCTAACACGCCCCCACATATCTACATCACCATGTGGAAATATTTGCATAATGCGCCCAAATGATCACGCAAAGAAAGAAGGCGTGGTTTCAAGTAACCGCAGTTAGTGTTGAGTGTGTGTGTGCGCGCGCGCGCGAGAGAGAGAGAGAGAGAGAGAGAGAGAGAGCGGTGTGTGTGTGTGCGCGCGCGAGGGAGAGAGAGAGCGGTGTGTGTGTGTGCGTGCGCGCGCGAGTGAGAGAGAGAGCGGTGTGTGTGTGTGCGCGCGCACGCGAGCGAGAGAGAGAGAGAGAGAGCGTGCGAGAGAGAGAGCGAGACACATCACAGTGGAGTCAGCTGTCTTAACCGTGGCTTGTGTACTGAAGTTGCATCTGTTAACATCAGATAATGCACTGTGAACTGACATAAACATAAATGTTTTTATTAAATACAATAAATGCTGTAAAAAATATATTGTTTATTGTTAGTTCAATGTTATCAAATGAGACCTAATTGTAAAGTATTACCAATGCAACAATAAAGGTTCAGAAATGCACTTTTCACAATCCTTTTTAAATGAGACAAATGTGTCCTTGCAAATAGGAATGAAATATAAGTTTGTTCTTAATTCTTCTTTTAAAACTTTTATTTTGGTTTTCACTGATTATATTGTGTGGCTAATGTATCATAATTTCTATTTTTCCAGGTATGCCATGGCCTTGTATAACCAGCATGTCTGTCCTGTGGACAACTGGTAAGAATTTTACTAAAGATTATTGTGTTTTCTTTTTATTATTTTATTACATTTACATATTTATTACATTTATTTATTATTTATATTACATTTTTATATTGCTTTATACTATTGAATATTTTATTATTTATTATTATATAGTTTATATATAGTTTATATTATTATATATTTTAATTTAATGATTTTTATAATAAATATTTTAAAATGTAAAATAATGTTAAATTCTATAATACACATGAAATGTGAAACACTAACACTTTAAATGTCAAGTTTTTTATAATATGTATTATTTTTGTTAGGGTATTTTTATTTTTACATGTTTATTATTATGTTGCTAACTGATGTGCATATAATCATATTTTTAAAGAAAAGAGCTCATTTTGGTGCATGTGCTTTAAGGCTATTAATCATTTACTGATAACACCTTTTTAAAGTGCATGCCCACATCAGAGAGAGACCTCCTGACTTTGTATCTCCTACACTTCTTCTGGCGTCATCTGCTCTAATGAGTAGTGTATTTGATATGAGATGTTGAACGAGTTTCTCATTAACTTCATTTGGCTCAAGGATGTGTTAGCCAGTGAGAAATTTAATCCTGTTTATTTTTATTGTTAGTCGCAGGTTAACTTGTGCTTCATACCATGAGAGCTTTAGTCAAACATTAGCATATGGAGCATAGCGGTGACTAGGTAACTTCAGTGTTAGCGCTGCTCTTGGGCTTTGGGAGGTGCACATTGTGCTTTAATTATTTAAAGCAGTAATAATGGCGTCTGTGTGTGGGTCCGTGAGCAGAGGCGGTCGCCGAGGATTACTCATCATTAATATGAGTGATGAATAAAACCCACTGTCCCAGAATATCAGTGAAAAATGTGTACTTTCTGACTAGGTGTCATATGTAGAGCTGAAGCTGAGCAAACAAGATCAGATTTGGTCTGTTTAAAGGTGACATATCATGAAAATCTGACTTTTCCAGGTTTTAAGTGCTATAATCAGGTCCCCGGTGCATCTACCAACCAAGGAAACGTGAAAAAGATTAACCCAGTAACTTTGTTTTGGTAAGCCTTTTTCTGCAAGCGTCTGAGAATTGTGCGCTCAGAAAAACGTATATCAGAAATTTGAACTCATATGGTTTAAAACGCATGATTTCAGCGCAATAAACATGACAATCAGAACCAAAACAGATGTTTTTAGCAGATACGAGCTGTAATGGCGCAGCTCTATTCTGGAAAAGGGGGCAGGGGAGCAGCAGCTCATTTGCATTTAAAGACACAGGCCCGAATAACACCGTGTTTCTGCTTCCACTCAAAATAGGCATTTTCAAAATGATATAATAAATGATCTGTTGAGTATTTTGATCTGAAACTTCACACACACATTCTGGGGACACCAGAGACTTGTATTGCATATTGTAAAAAGGGGCATAATATGTCTCCTTTAATGAAACGTGGCCCACAGGCTGCCTTTACCTTTTACAGTGCTTTGCATTCCTGGGTAATTTTTACACTCTAGAAACAACAGTGGTCTTTCATTTACTTTTTTCGCTTGGAGGGAGGAGCATTAGTCCTGTAGTGCGGGATGTGTTTGCTTTAGTAATGAAGTGTAGCCACATTATGTTTGCCTTTAGTTCTGCATGGTGTAGTATGAATCGAAGTTATGGCGACTGTCAAAACACGTTTATACTGGAAGTGAGTTGCAGCTGTGGTCGTATCATCCAGTATACAGTAGGAATGCAGCGGTGTGTAACTTGTACAAATTCACAGACAGATGCAGCTGTTCTACTGAATACACTCAGATCTGTCTGATTGATTATTATTTATGCCCAGTGAGCAAATCTCAAAGTAGACTCCCACAGACCTGATGGACTCATTTTGGCTCTGTTTTAACTCCATATGTGTATTAATAACATGGTTGTCTGTGTATTTGTTTACTTACAGGATGTATAACCAGTCATGTGAGGTGGATCTGCCAATGCAGAGGGGACCAACCATGTGCTGTACTCTGGACAATGTTCCTCTCATAAGGTCTGTATGAAATAACAGCAAGAAAAAAACTATGCCAATGGATAACAGGGTTATACGTTTAGCATAAATAAAGCTAGCAAAGCTATAAGGCCTAGCTAGTTTGGGACTAAAGGTTACTTTGTTAGTAGTGATAAATTTATGCTTCACATTAATTCAAGAAAAATATTTGTGTAATTTTTTTCATGCAGTGACAGGGTTGAATGCTTGAGCTTTACAAATGCAGACAGCACTACAATTTGATGCAATTGTACTTTTTAAAAATATTTTGATTCATTTCTATTTTAATAATTTCTGTTTTCATTTTAATTTCAGTTATAGTAAGTTTTCTTGTATTTTTGTAAGTTTTTGTTTTTAAAAAATGTCTAAATTTCAGTCTGTTATTTTATTCTTTTTAAGTTTTATTTACACCAACTTAAACAGTTTTTAACTGTTGAAAATGTGTTAAATACAAACAATATTTTTTATATTTAATTTTATTCTAGTTTACAATTTTACAGTGTTTATGTAACGTTATAACAATGGTTTTAACATTATTCTTTTTCAAGTAATGAAAATGTTTTTTGATGGTTTTAGGTTTAGATTTAGGTACAGTTAACTACAATAACCCTGGATAATAGTTTCTCAAAACTATCCAATAGTTCTCACAAAAAATATGGAATTTGTATTTCTAATGCGTTCAAAAAAGTAATTGAACACCAAAGTGCACCTTATTCCTGGAAAGTGCCGTTCTGAGGCAGTGGTCTGTGTCAGCACATTCTTCTTGCCATGACCCCTTCCCTTCCTCTGCATGCATGTCATTTCTATTTTCCTCAATCTGAAGACCGAGATCAGGGGGAGAAACAGGAATCTAAAAGCATGTGATCTACATGGCACCCTTACGAAACAAGATATTTCACCTTTACAAGATAGTTTTACTGCTGCTGAGAGAAAAAAAGGAGCTGCAACTTGTCCACCACACAAAGGAATTTCCCAACTTACTGAGGAAAAACCGAAACCAGACTGACAAAAAGGGCAAGAACATTGAGATAGTTTTAGCCAAAGCATGTTGTTCATTTATTTGGCTCTTCTAGGCATTTTATCATCAAAGGGAAATCTGACAATGCATATATTGTGGATTCTGGAATAACTTGTGGGATCTTTGACCCGAGCTGTTCAATAGACCATCGGTCTCATTTGCCTTCAGAGCTGTTTGGTTTATGGAGTATGAACTTGAGTTATATGTTAAGTCTTATTTATGTGTGCCTTTGGGTGTGCTCATGATCTGCATTTCTACTACCAGATTGTGTGTGTGTGTGTTTGTGTGTGGGTTTATTTTGACTGCTACCCACTATAGTCAGCGGTTCTCAGCCCAGAGGTTCTCTTGAAGTGGGTGAAAGGTCAGATCCACACACACACTCACACTTGGAACAGCATACACATTTCTAGCTTATCATTATAGAGCTTAACACCTCAGTGATTTATTTATAGAAAGCATAGCTATATGTAATCCAGCAGAGGCTCATTTAGCGGGAACTTATTACATGGTTTAGGAAAGCTGAGTTTGGTTCAGAGAATTTTTATTAGGAGAACATGGCCTTACTGTTGATTTACAGTTATTCTGTCATAATTCACTAACTCTTATGTTGTTTGGAAAAGACATGAAGATTCTTCAGTCTAACTACAGAAGAAAAAAAGCCATACAGGTTTAGAAAGACATGAGCGTGATTAAATGATGACAGAATTTACATCTTTGGTTGAGATCCAGTGAGATCTGAAGTATGTAGCCTGTTATTCTCAACACTTTTCAGCTGATTGCCTGTAAGTTTACGTTTGTTTACTCCATTTATTTGCAGCTTCATCTCCTTTTAAAGGCTTCATGCCACAGTGACTGAAATGGTCTTCAGTAATGATTACCTGTGTGTTTATAAGGACAATTTCCTTTCATGGTGAGGTGCTGGCCCAGTCTTTCATCCGTAAAGGCCCTATCTTTGCTTATCTTTTGGCTTGTTCTCATACAGAGTGACAGCTGTGTGAGAAAAGCTAAGGGTCCTCAAGCCCTCTTCTAGCTCTATCCTCATTTTTTCCCAATAACCCACAGCTGCCAGTGTGCTCCCAAGAGCCGAACAGGCCTATTTTAGTCAGCTGCCAATGGGAGTTCATCCCTCAGGACCCTTTGCTTTGGAATGTGCATCTATGTATGTTTGTCTATTCATGTAATGAGAACCCTGGGCATCTAACCTCTGTTCTGATGTTCTGATCTGCAGTAAATGCGGCACACTTCCTCCAGAGAGCTGCTTCTTCAGTCTCATCTGCAGCACTGGATCCTTTATGGGTGAGTTTACAATGCACACCTCCCACTTACACTACAGTTTAGAAGTCAGTAAGATGTTTTTGAAATATTTATGCTCATCAAGGCTGCATTTATTTGATCAAAAATACAGTAAAACCGGTAATATTGTGAAATATTATTGCAATATAAATTAGCCGTTTTCTATTTTAATATTTTTTGAAGCTGCAGTCCATAAGTTTTTTGGTTAGAAATTATACAAAATCAATTTTTGAGCAAGTACATAACCGGCCAGTGTTCAAAACTATCTCCATACTTTAGCCCGATTCACAACGGTTAGCTTATAATAATGTTTTCTAATTTGAGTGGTACGGGTAGGAATTCGTGGGAAATTCGAGCATGCTGCCGCGTCATTACGTCATGTCTGTAAACATAAATAAGTTGTCCCGGCTACTAGGCTATCGCATGTGAGGATCCTGCAGGTGGCAGATCGTTTAGCCTCCTTCTCACAGCAGCTGGAATAATTAAATTGACCATTTTGATGGTGGATTGTAATCCAAAAAGGTTTATGTGTTTATGAAACACAAGTGACTGAAATTAGATTATATTCCAGTTTTAAATCTGATTTGCATCTGATTACAGATAGCCTACGTGGGATTACACAAGATTTGTATTTCAAAGAGAACCAGTTCTAATTTGCTTTTTGGGTTAAAAGAATTTCTTTATATGAAATTCGAATGGTATGATAATTAGAGATTAGACTGTACAGAAATTGAAATCTACAGGTAAAGCTAATTCACACTACATACACGTTAACATGAACAATTTGAGAACAAAGTATAACAGTAATAATAATTTGCACGGTTTGATGTGATATGAGCTAACCGGTTGTTAGATTTAATCAAAATTGTAGCACAACTTATTTTCCTCAATTAGTCAGAACAAAACTTTTAGACTTGTTACTTACTCGTTCAGATGAAAATAACCGGTGAAAATTCTTATTTACTTCCAAGACGTAGCCTAGAATCTGTGATTCCGAAGTACAGTAAATATCCACACCGGTGCGGTGACTGACAGCCACACATACTCCTCAAAATATTAGATTAATTTGCGCTGGAGCCGTGCCGGAGCACAACCCACGTTAAGAAAATAATTCCGCAAATAACTGCAATTGCAGGTTTCAAACAGAGATGGCGACAAAGAGGCCAAACTTACGGCCTGTAGCTTTAACGCTAGAACTACCGGAATTCTATAACTACTAGAATGGCCATAGCGGTCATTCTGACCGTTCCTACTAGACTGAACTGAATGCCAGTTTTGTCATATCATATTTACATTCAAAGCTTCTTTTGATGTTTTACAATGAAGCTTTGAATGTCTGTTGTCATAGTTTATGACGTAATCACCCTAAAAATAAGATTTTTTGGGTAATATTTAATTAATTGTGTAAAAGCTACGTAGACCGCTCCCGAATGTGCGTGCCTCACTTTGTGTCCAGCAAGCGGGAGAGCATACATTTTTCACCGCAGTGAAAATGTTGTATTTGAAAGTCTAAATGCCAACAAATATGAACGGAAGCAGAATATTTCTGTAGATAAAGCGTTGTGAATTTTGGAAATGATTACATACATCTTTTTTCAATACATTTTTACTTTTTAACTTTACAACGCTCTGAAGTTATTGGAAATGTTTGGATCACATAAATAGGAAACAATTCTATGCAGCCACCAGTAGAATCGTGATCAATGAATAAATGGATCTGTTATGATAGTATAGGTAATAATAAACATCATCACTGTCGCTAAAAAAAAGCCTAATTAGTTTGTTTTATTTCACAATATCAGTCTTGTCGGGGCTAAAATAAGCATTAGCTATAGCATTACACTAGCATAAAAATAATAATAGCTATTATTATTATTACGTCAATTTTGTCATAACATTGAAGTAGACTATTATTGATAACAGCCAGGCTATAGTCTTCCAGCCTAACATAGCCTACCTGGAACC